AGTGCGTCCTGACTTCAGCAAAGCATTTGAAAAGTTTTCCATAATATGCTAGTAGAGAAGAAGACAAAGTATAGGCTGGGTAATGCTTCTATTAGATGGGTATAGAACTGGTTGAATAGCAATAGCACTTAGACCTATATACCACTTCATAGTGCTTTATAGCATTCTCTGAGTGGTTTACAGAGTGATAGTATTGCCCTTAACCATCTGGGTGCTCATTTTACCAACCTCGGAAGGATAAAAGGTTGAGTCAACCTTGAGTCGGTGGGAATCAAACTGCTGGCAGTTGGCAGAATTAGCCTGCAATACTGCAGTATAACAACTTCACCCCCACGGCTCTCACGATTAAGCATATTCAGTGAAATTACAGAGAGGAGTGGTGTACCTTCTCTATATCTTGAATAAGGTCAGGAAATATGATTATCAAATCTAAAGTTGACTAAATATGACTGTATGGAACATATAGGAACACAATGTCAATATACAGGGGAAATATTTGGTATATTTAGCCAGGGGAAGCTAAGATTAAAGGGAGACATGTCTTCTAGTATTTAAAGAAGCTGATGGGGAAGAATTTTTCAGAGTTGTTCTGGAAAATAAAAAACAATGGGTTTAAACTAGAGAGAAATAGAAGTTGGATACAGGAAAAATTTCCACTCTATAATACAATCTTGAGGCAGATATATTTGTGTAGAAACAACTGTGGAGATGCTACTTGGAATTTTGGCTGAAAAAGCACGTGAAGCTTTAAAAAGGGTTTCCAGATAATTCAAGCCCACAAAGAAAATATAGCTTTTCTGATGTTAACATTAGACATTGACTGATGGTCTCCAGTTTTACCTAAGCTTTTTATATACATCAATCTATATGATAATTTCCTTTTAGAATGACTGCAAAGCACAGTTGCACCAATATTTACAAAACTGAATCATCTAATCCTAGTAATTATCTATACCCTATTGCAACCTCTGAATGTTTACCTGATATCTATTTCATACATTCAAGAATGGAATATATGTTATTTATGATATAGATTAGAATGAATAAAAGTAAAAAATGATCAGGTCTCTGTTTTATTTAGGATTCAACTTAGAATTCCACATCAGCTTTTAACTGGTTTTTCATCAGTTTTTCATTTACCAAATAGGAATTGTTAGTAGCAGTCACTGATCATAACTAATATAGATGAAATATGACTTGGATTTATGCTGATATTGCAGTAACCATACATAATTGCTATTCAAAAGACATTAACTAAAGCCATCTATATTAACTGAAGGATAAAATAAGGATACATTCTGTCTCTGTTGCTCTTAAAGTGACCTTGTACTGCCAGCTGTCATTCCTCAAATTCTCTAGAACATATTTCCTTCTGTATATGTCACTTGTCTTGACAGGGCAAGACTAAGGATTGAAAAACTATTGGCACATTCTGTGCTGCTCCCTTCAACTCAATTCCACATAAAGAAAGAAACAACAGGAGCAAAACCGAGTAGTTTTTTAGGGGGCCAGAACATACAATACTGAAATTAAGATGGAACAGACAAAAACCTTGTCTGTTTCACTCCTTTTACTTTGACTGAGTTGACCTGGCTGTCTGGGGAGCTGCAAAGCATTCAGGTTTCCAGTTTCCTTATATACAGTAATATTACTGGCATAAAGCAAATAGACGGAACAACACAAAACAAAACTGTTCATGCATGCCATATTAAGTTCAACCAGCTCTATTCCTTAACCCTGCCAAATTTATGTAAGCATATCAGTCTAAAACAGTTGCATAAGAAGCCTTATGCAGAAGTGCCCTGAGTTGTGTATTTACTCTTGCAGGGAGAATAGCTTCTCCCTCCACCACCACCTCCTCTTTTTTTAGGAGCATAACAATATTTTCAATCTGAAACATCTCAAGCTTAAAATTAGAATGCCATGAGCTTAATACTATGGCAATTCTACTAAGGACAGAATGGCTGCTTCAAACTCAAATTGCTTTGAATTCAAAATGTTGGACACGACTATATTTGTCTCTTAACTAAAACTGCAACTATATTAAGAAACAGCCTCTATTCCCCACTCCAGCCCCATGTACAGAAATGGCTCCAATGGACATTCACCACTTAACTGTAACTTACAGGTAACTACTCCAAGCTTCAGAAAGCCTCCTCTCTGCAAGAAGGAGAAAAGGTTTGGAAGATCCAGAGCTTAGGAGCTTGGAGCCAGGACTCAACATCCCTCCAAAAGAACCCCAGGAAGAATGAAAAAATAATTATACCCTGTTCACACCAACCAGATCAAATCAGCTTGATAATATTCCTGTGTTTCATGGCTACTTTACAGTGATGAATTGATTTTTATTTCCTAAATAGAATTACTGTATACTGTCTTGGAATGAATATATTTGTAGGGTATCATTCAGTCATTCAATCATTCATTTTCAGGTATATATTTTGTATAGAAAATTTTATTTGGTGGAATGTACAATAGATCCATCCATCCATCATATCCGTCCATCAATCCATCCATCCATCCATCCATCCATCCATCCATCCATCCATCCATCCATCCATCCATCCATCATATATCATCTATCTTATAAACAAAAACAAAAATCTGGAGTGAACACATATCTCTGAGTCTTGGCACTTCTTCTAGGTGTTTTCTTTCATTATAGTAACATTTACTTACTTATCTTCTTTACGGGTGCAGATTAAGCCACAGTGTTATTAAATGATATTGGCTAAAACAACAAAGAAAGGGAAATTGGATGCATCAATATTTAAGCTTTGTGTAGAAGAGTTACAGTCTACTGAACCAGATGATCTAAGCAATCATTTATTTTTAAAATCATTAGGTTAGGATAGTTTTAAGTGATTCCTATTCCTCAACCTGTCATCTCAAAACCACTAACTGAAGAGTATCCTGTATTGAGATGTTGGCCTTTCTTCAGAATTAGAGGGCATTTACAGTCTTTAGATTCCAGCGTATTTTGCTTGAGGCATGGTACTTGGAAATATCAAACATTCATAATGTTGATATACGCTTTAATAAAAAATAGGATGGTACAAAAATATAGATCTGAACAGACATAAAAATCATATGATTTTGAGTTCATTTTATCCACTTCTTATTTTATATTAACTTCTTTCTTCACAAAATCTTCACCTTATTTGTATTTTATTGTTGCCATCCTTGCATAAAATCTCTTTGCCTTCTATAATTTTCTGAACTAAATCTGTTGTTCTCCCCCTCCAAAGAAAAGAAATTCCAATGGTAGATCATAGCCGAATCTTTGACTGAAATGAAATCCAAGATCTTAGCATTGTTGTTTGTTTTTCCCTCTCTACTTAGATCCCGGGGGAAAATCTTTATTGTATCTCTTACAATAAACCACTTTACCTAAGGTGTTATAATGAAAATATTGAACAACTAGTTTTACATTACTTGCTTTAGGTTAGTCTGGGAAATAAAAAGAATCACCCCGGAAGGAGGCAATCAGGAATCACTTCTCTACCATTGCTAAGAAAATTACATGCAATGAAGCCCGATTTGGAAGTGTGTCTAGGCATACAGCTGTGTTTAAGCGTACAGTGGTAGTAAGCATACAATTTAACTTGTTTTTGAGCATTTTAATTATTTTATTTGCAAACATGTTCATACTCCTATGTCCTTATCAGAGGAGGGGAAAAATAAGGTGAGAAATTTGCTGA